GCGCGGAGTGGGTGGGGCCCGGCGGCCACACTGCCAAGGCAACGAGCTGCTGGCTGGTCTGGCTCAAGTCAGAAAGGGTTAAGTGAATTACTGTTGAAGTGTCTTGGAGCAGCCCTCTCCCCTCCTGGACGCCTCCAATGGGCTTTCTCCCTTCCTTCCGCAGTCGTCCTGATCGGGGAGTCCGGGGTGGGCAAAACCAACCTGCTGTCCCGCTTCACCCGCAACGAGTTCAACCACGACAGCCGCACCACCATCGGCGTGGAGTTCTCCACCCGCACCATCCTGGTGGGAGACGCAGTGGTGAAGGCTCAGATCTGGGACACAGCCGGGCTGGAGCGGTACCGCGCCATCACCTCTGCGTAAGGATGGGATGCCTGAAATCAGGGCTCCTCCTGGTACCTGGGTGGTGATGCCCTTGTAGTTGAGCCCCACAGGTGAGGATGCTGTGGGGGGTGTCTGGACCATGGAGTGATGGTGGGGTTCTCCCATAGGTATTACCGGGGGGCTGTGGGTGCCCTGGTCGTCTTTGACATCACCAAGCACCAGACGTACGATGTGGTGGACCGCTGGCTGAAGGAGCTGTATGACCACGCCGAGGCCAGCATCGTCGTCATGCTGGTGGGGAACAAGACCGACCTCGCACAGGCTCGGGAGGTGCCCATGGAGGAGGCGAAAATGTTTGCCGGTACGGGCTGGCACCCTGCCACAGGGCTGGGGGCTTGGGAACCTCCCTGGTAGCAGGGACCCACACCAATGTGGGCACCCGAACATCTCTAAAGGGGCTCCAAAATGGAGCTGTGCCCTCACCGGGGTCTGCATCATCTCGGGGGACTCCTCTCCTTGCAGACAACAACGGGCTGCTGTTTGTCGAAACCTCGGCGCTGGACTCCACCAACGTCGAGCAGGCGTTCGAGACCATCCTGAAGGGTACACGCACTGGCGCCGTGGTGCAGCGGGGTCCCGGGGACCAGGGCATCGCAGGGTCCCTTATCAGGGACACAGGGCTGGGCAGAGGATGTGCAGCGCGTCTCTCCTCTGCCCTGTTCCACGTGAGCTCTTTGGGGCTGGTTTCGGTGTTGTCTTTCTGGCTGGTTTGGTTTCCGGCCTTTCTTGCTGGGTGTTTCGCACTCCGCACCAGTAGCTTTGTTCTCATGGCCCCCGGGCATCCCTGAAAGCCCTGGGGGCTCCTTCTCCCCCTGT